GAAGACCTTGGCGAGAAAGACGGGGAGTAGAATCTTTAGATGAACACAACAGATAAGGCAGGAAATTCAGGTCAAATACAACTAGAGAGATATATGGGTGCCTGATTTTCAGAGTCCCTCCTCCATCTGTTACAGCAAAGTACAAAAGCAATAAACATTTCTCATGATTGGCCACATCCACCATTTCTAAACGTCAGTCATCGTGGCCTACAACCATAATTCCCCCACCAAGAAATAAGTCACCACCGGTCTTGCTTCTGCCTCCTGGAATTCCCATCTCTCCTGCCGGAGAGCGGAGAGCGGCATCTGCACAAATCCCTCCTCAGCTCCTGACGACGATGACGACTCCTTTGATAAACTACCCGAGTGTGGGGGGAGGGACAGGAAGATGGAGACATCAAATGGGGAAATGAGTTTTCCCCTTTCAGATGAATGTATATGAAGTGTACATCTGACACTTCATCAGTGCTCCCGGCTGGTGTCCCAGCGGGCGGACGCTGGCTGAGCATGCATTCTGCAGCCACCAGGCTACTTAGGAGGAACTGGCAACGTGCCATTGATCTGAAATGCCCAAAGTGTCTGGGAGAGGTACCACAGCTACATTTAGCATTGCCAAGGAAAACTAGATACTTGAGGCTAGGAATTAATCTCCTCCCTGAGAAGGTAGTCGGCAGAACCTTCAAATGTGCCAATGGCCTTTCAGAACACTGCAGGTCATGCGCTTCCTAAAATTCATACCCACCAAGTCACACGGTCTTCATTAATATCCTGCCAGCATATTCTCAATCCTCAGGTAAGAAGTCCATACTGAAATGTGAGTTGTTTTGATGGAACTGAATTTTGTTGCATCAAATGTGATGCTGTCACTTGGACACAACCACTTTGGATATTTTTTTTTTCTGATTCTCCTACACCTGGACAAATATCTCTTCAACTTAGTGATTAGGAAAAAAAAATCAATACACAAGTTAAACCACCATGACTACAAAGCTACATGAAAGCCGATTCATGAACATTCCTTGATTGTGGACAATGATAATCACGTTACAATTTTGTCATCATATTTTTTGAGTGGCTGACATACACTAATTGGGATTTGGCTTGTGAAGTGGATTTTAAAGATAGTCACAATTGTAAGCTGTACACAGAACAACCAAACCAGAGGTTTTAGACGGATGATATCATTAGGCCACCAATCAGAGCACACAGTCATGCCATCACTTTACCTTGAGGCTAGAGAAAGCTGTCATTTTTTTCATGAATAATTATCCATTACTTCATTACTATTTATTGAGTGCCTCCTACATGGAAGGCACTGTGCTAAGGGCAGGAGGGAGCAGACAATGAAGTCATCTAATAAGTCTGCCCTCAAGACGCTCACACGGCGAGATTAAGCGTTCACAGGTATACCACGATTGACACTAAATGGGTTGGGAAATTAGCTCACAGCTCCAAGGGGACCCCAGAAATAAGGGGGGATCAGTGAGTGGGGAGGCATGTTCTACTGCACAGAGCAACCCCACAAATTCAGCTTGTTTGGAAAAGGATTAAGTGACAGAAAAAGGAAAAAAGTAAAGAAAACAAGGGGCTCTATCAGCTGTCCACTCCCACCTCCTCAGCATCATTCTCTAGTCAACGGGTTATTTTTACTCAATGAAAATACTCCGAATACGACGGGAACATGGAACGGGCTGATCTTGAAGGTCCAGTTAGCTGTGTAGTCACACAAATGGTACCGGCCATGAAACAGACATGAGAGTGTGTCCCAGCGACATGCTGAGGTAAGAGTCTGGACATACTCCAACAGACCCAGGAGGTCAAGATGGGGCTCTGCCTAGGGGGACACCTTGACAACCCCGAAGTAAACGGCTTAAACATACTCTGGTCTCTGTGTCCAAATTTAGCCACAGTTCAGTCACCACAACTTGAAGCTTCATCAAGTTTGTGGGTAGACCAGCTGATAATGTAAATGATTCCTTGCTAAGAATGTTATCTGGCACACTTTATGGAGTATTCTTCTGATGTTATCTTTTAATATTTCTTTTGTATCCTATTCCCAAATAGGTTGTTTGGTATGCTTTTGAACAATGAAAACATCAGTTTGTGTCAGGGTACATGATCCCGGTATTAGGTAATAAGAGTATTTGGGGCAGAGCTGCTTTTATCAGAATGATTTACTTTCTAACAAGCATATATATAATATTACTATTTGAATGTTAGGATGGCAGTGTTTGAATTACACTGTCAAAAATCATAAATTGTGAAGTATTTTTGTCTTAAAAAGTAAATGCTTACAGGGAGACAATGCTTTAAAAAATTCCTCAAGGAAAACAATTCAGTTAGGAGAGGGTGGAAGAGGGTGCCAGGGGAGGGCAAGACTCCCCACTACGGCTTCAATATCCCCTCTGGAGATCAGCATTCCACACATGCAGATTGTTCATTTTTCGGAAAGAAGGGTCAGAAAGTTTCAGAGCCAAAATGGGCTTCCTGGACTGTTTTCACTAAATGTCTTTGCATTCTGCAGCTCAGAGCAGGCTGAAGACATTGGAGGAATTAAGACTTGCCCAAGTTTATTTGTCTCTTTAATGCCAAAGCAGGAACTGAGGCTAGATGAAAACCAAATCTCCGTGCACTGTATCATGCGCAAATAGCCAACATAAGTTCCCACCAGTGTATAAAATTACAAAACACCATAACACACTGATTTATATATACATATATAATTTACATTTTTGTCAATAAGAAATATTTAAAAACCAACTAGCATGCCACGCAACTTTACCACTGACCCCAAACTAACTTGTATAGACTTTTTGTTTTGTTGTTCAGTTTCTTGGTTTTGTTTCGGTTTGTTTGGGTGCCGAGAAATAAACCCAGTGCCTCACACATGCGAAGGGGGCACTCTACCATCGAGCAAGATCCCCAGACCAAGTTGTAAAGATTTTAACAAGAGGTGGAACAGATCAGTATTCTGCTACGGAGCGGGGGGATGGGCTCGGTAGATACACTGGTTGTCACTCAAACATGAGAACTGAAGTTCAAACGTCCAGAAGCCAGCATGGCAGTTGCCTGTCATCCCAGCAGTTGGCAGGCAGAGACAGGGGTTCCTGGGTAAGTCGGCTAGCTATGATAGCTGGAACCTGTGAAGCTCCATGTTCATCAAGAGACTTTGAATAATAAATAAAGTGGAGAGTGACCAAGAAAGATAATGATGTCAAGTCTGGGCCTCCAAACATGTGCATACACATCTACACCCACATACCTGTGAAACCACACACACATGCCTACACACACATACATTTTAAAAAGGTGTCCAGCAGCCGGGCGGTGGTGGCACACGCCTTTAATCCCAGCACTCGGGAGGTAGAGGCAGGCGGATCTCTGTGAGTTCAAGGCCAGCCTGGGCTATCAAGTGAGTTCCAGGAAAGGCGCAAAGCTACACAAGAGAAACCCTGTCTCGAAAAACAAAAACAAACAAACAAACAAAAAAACCAAAAAAAAAAAAAAAACAACAACAAAAAAATCTAGTAAGCATAATGGCTAAAAATCAAGGTTATACTGGGAAAGAAAGAAAAAAAGTCCAAATCTATGCTAGCAACAGACACATAAATATGTTCCAGGTGATAAATATGAGAGTACTAATAATGGAAGGTCATTTTTTTTTTTTCTGGGCAGGGGATCAAATCCAAGATTTCCTCCATGCTAGGCTAGTACTCTAACACAGAGCTACATTCCTAACCTCCAACATTTTTAATTAACATGAAAAAAAGAATGATCCTTCCAAGAATTGCCAACAGATGCTGAATTCAGGGGAAGGTTTTGGCGAGCAGCTTGTTTGCAGAGCCTAGGCTGTCTATCCAGACAGCTCCTACATGGCAAGAGAGAAAGTTGGTGGTGACTACCACAGAGCAACCAGGCAGCACCTTGCCTGGGTTATCCAAATTAACACCACAGTGCGGGGCAGAGAGGCATCGTGCACCTGTCTAGAGCATGTCCCGAGGACACATCCAGACTTCTCAGTTTGGAACAGGAATGCACAAGCCAGACTCTCCCCATGGGAAAACAGGAGGCAAGCACCATATGAAAAATTATCTAGAATTTTTTTTTCTCTTTTTTTTTTTTTTTTTT